CGGTCACATTGTCGAGGGTTTGGATCCTTGATGCGTTTTCTGTTTTGCATTTTTTCTACAATGGTCTCTGTGCATTGAAAAAGCATTTTTGCATAACTCTGTGCTCGAGAATGCCGCCAAAGAATGTTTCTGAACGAATGGAGCCATTGTGGACGATTCCATGCCGAACATTCCTTGGGCAACTATTTACCCTATACTGCCCCAATCATCCGGAGTCGAGCCAGTTTTTGACCGAGTTTTTTCTTCGTGGACAGACTTGGCTCGAATGTTGTGTTCTGGGGTAGTTTAACCTCCTGAATACGAATAACACATCCGCTTGGCCGAAAATCTCTCGGCGCCCGCGGTACAGGCGCCGGTGATTTGGGGTATTTTGGCGCCGGCGCCTGTGGCGCGAGCGCCATTAGGTTTCGGGTCGAGCGAATGTGATATTCGTATTCAGGAGCTCAAACTACCCCAGGGTACGAATGTTTGACCAGTTCTGCTCACGGAAAAAAGTCGGTCAAAACTGGCCAGATTTCCGATGATTGGATGATTGGGGCAGTAGGGTAAATAGTGCCCATTCTTGGATTTCTGATTTCTTCGTTATTGCTTCACGGAGCTTATTTTTGTACAAAAGGAATGCACTCCAACGAATGTGCTTGCCTTGATGAATGGCTTTATTCTCCGAACGACATGGCTGGATCCGAAACCACACGAAGTTGTGCGTAAAGATGAGTATCATTGGAAAGGCTTTCCCACGACGTGGCTTTGACGTGGCAATCTTGCGGAGATCACAATGGGAGAAACCTTCATTCATCACTCCCATAGTGTTGAAAGATGTTCTATCCCAAACGTGGTGCTTTCGCACCTGCTGGAATTCTGTGACAAATTCAACAGCCAAGAATGTTCTGCATGGAGCAGCTGTTCACAATGGCTCCATTAGTTCAGAAACATTCTTTGGCGGCATTCTCGAGCACAAGAGTTATGCAAAAATGCTTTTTAATGCACAGAGACCATTGTAGAAAAAATGCAAAACAGAAAACGCATCAAGGATCCAAACCCTCGACAATGTGACCGTGAGACCTGCAACGTTTCCACTCCTCACGCCGCTAATTTGTATTGAATGCCACTATGCTCCCCTAAAAAGGCCCCGTAACTTTGTTCTAAGAGGTCCGCAGCCTTAAGAGGCACATTCCGCGAAAAAATAAGGCTATGACCTCTCAAATGTGTCGGACGATCCGGAAGGCGATTTTTGAGGCTGCGCTACTTTCAAAATGTGAAAAAACGCAAAAACTATCCGCTAGAAGCGGCTAATCAGCCCATAAGACACCCTTAGGCCATGCGGACCCCACCGGCTGCTAGCTTACTAGCTGTAGCCACTAGGTTATCTTCCGCTCTATAACATTTCGGGACTGCTTTAGAGCTGCTGCTCTTCCCGCTAATGCAGAATACTTGGCAGCTTGTTGTCTTGTGCGCTATGTTGAGTTCACTGGTTCCCGGCAATCTTGCGGTTCGCGAACTGTGCCTCTTTAAAATTCGCACGTAGACCGTCGTTCTAAGAGGTCGCGCAGCAGATGTGAGAGAAGCCACGGGTTCTCGTAACCGCCGTCCGAAGACCTTTCAGTCGGTATACTCTTCATTTGCTTCTATGTTTCTAAATGGCCAACTTTTTTCTGATCTCCTATCCATTCTCGTCCTTATTGTGATATGTTGTTATTTTCATTTGGATGTGTTTTCAAATGTAGAGCTGGAGACGTCGTAGATAGGTTTGGTCGGAAATCTGATCGTTCGATAATGGGGGCCTTTATCCGCGCTCGGGAGATCAGAGTCAACTCGTAACGCTACTTTCAGTGTAGGTAGCTGTCGATAGCGAATTCATGTCGCATGTGAATAAAGGTAGTGATTTATAAGTTTTCGGTGACATAATGCAGCAGGAATACAGTTGGTGCCTGTATGGCGTGGTTCCTGTATAGGGATGTTATGTGTTCGGGCGGAGATGTGAGAAGATTTACCTACATCTAGACCTGGCTTGTTTTTTTGTTTCTGCTATTGTTTATATTTTCCGAATCATGCGTGTAAATGTCATGTTATTCCCGGTGCTTCGCTCATGAACTAGTAGACGGAGGGGTAATCGCAATCTCAGACAATGACGAAATGTGCCGTTAATTGAACAACTCTTCTCTTTTCGTCATAAGTAGCCGCAGTGTGGCGGGAAAAGCACGGATCGACTGATCAATCGTCGTGCTTTCGTGCTTGGTTGAAACAGACTGGATAGGTTCTGATGGTTCCAATCCTTTCTAGGCTCCAGTCAAAGATCTCGGAACTCGTGGTTCTAATGTAAAGGATGTGAAAGTTGGAGAGCGTTGATATATCGATAGGTACAAAGTGAGTGTTGTTATGTTTACATGTTGCCTTGGAGCTTTGATGACCCAATTATTTTATTCGAAGCTTTCTGGCACCAATAACCTTTGGAGGGGGGGGGTGCATTTGAAGGACTCATTGCAAACCTCGCACGGGAGCAAGGAATTTCGCCCTAGCCTAAAGGTGGAGGAGTCCGGGAAAGTATGTGGTTCTATTTGGATTTCTAGGCGCTGTTCGGCTTGGGAAGTGCGTTTTGCACTTTTCCTTGTGCGCCTTAACTAATAGTCTCATTTTGGTGAAACCTATAAACTTCTGGAAGCTGCAGAGTGGTACAAGTGTGCCGCTTGGTCAGAAGATCTTAAAGATCTTCACAGGGACCTGTGTATGCTCCCTTGTGTACCATATGGTGCCCGCACAAAGTCGAACTGCAGTCACCGCAGTGCCCCTTCCCCCAAGGTTGTTATCGCCTTTTTTATTATGTGCACTATGTTTAAGGCAGTTGTTATCATGTGCGGATTTGACCATGGCATACGGGCGTCGATACGGTCTTGTAGGTCGTAACGGTATAGGAAAGACAACGCTCTTGAAGATGATCTCAAGGTATTGCAAAGGGTTATTGCTGAAAATGCTTGCTGAAATGACTGTGCGTTTTCCAGCGGGCAATTGCGGATACCATCAGGAATCAGTTTGCTTGCCGTAGAGCAGGAAGTTGAAGGTGATGATACCAGAGTACTGGATGCTGTGCTGGCTTCCGATTCACGACGGCAAGCGATGATCGACAAGGAACATGTCTTGCAAGCAAGACTGAACAAGTAAAGTTCTG